AATGCCCAAAGAACCACCCAGATCACCATAGCAACCATAAAGCAACACTAAAGCAACATCCAGAGGACCCTGATCCTGAAGTTGTACATATATTTCAGTTTTTCTACTTTAAAATTTCACATTTAATTCAATCCGTCACTTGCTGTTTCTTTGTAATTAATCAGTGAAAATTGTTTCTACAGCTTTTTTTTCAGTGCAAGAAAACAAACCACCACTCTAATTTTCTTCCTGGTCTGCTATGGACTAGACGAGGGTAGGCAAGTTCGGTCCTAGAGAGCCGCAGTCCTGCAGAGTTCAGCTCCAACCCTAATCAAACACACCTGAACAAGCTAATCAATGTCTTCAGGATTACTAAGGCTATAGGCAGGTGAGTTTTTTTTTTCAGGGTTGGAGCTGAACTCTGCATGACTGCGGCTCTCTAGAACCGAACTTGCCTACCCCTGGACTAGACAGTTGTTTTTCTTTGTTTATTTCCTTCTTCCTTTGTTTTTTTTTTTCTTTCTCTTCTCTTTATCCTTTCCCAAATTTAAAAATAAAAAATTAAGCAGAAAGACTCATCTGCCTTTTAAATAGCCAATAGGCTTTACCTGTTGGTTGAAGACAATTGGAACTTGGGGAGGCACATTCAATCAAAAGAGCATCTCATTGGACAAAAATCTGTGCAGTGCAGGATGAGTCATCAATGTTTTGAAGAAAGGATAAGACATTTAGGGAAGTCGTGGCCTAATGGTTAGAGAGTCGGACTCGTAACCCAAAGGTTGCGGGTTCGAGTCTCGTACCGGCAGGGATTGTAGGTGGGGGGAGTGAATGTACAGCACTCTCTCCCACCTTCAATACCACGACTGAGGTGCCCTTGAGCAAGGCACCAAACCCCCAACTGCTCCCCAGGAGCCGCAGCAAAAAAATGGCTGCCCACTGCTCCGGGTGTGTGTTCACGGTGTGTGTGTGTTCACTGCTGTGTGTGTGCACTTTGGATGGGTTAAATGCAGAGCACTAATTCCAAGTATGGGTCACCATACTTGGCCACATGTCACGTCACTTTTTTTTTTTTTCATTTAAAATGCATTTATGAGCTAACAGAGCTGGGTAGATTGCTTACAAATTGTAGTAATTAGTAAACAAATTGTAATCGCCTTCTGCCATTTTTGAGAGTCCGTAATCAACGTAATCAAGGTAATCAACGTTGTTTACGTTCAGTAGAAAGGGCGCGCATGCTGAATGTAAACAGTGCTGATTACCTTGATTACGTTCTGGGGGACTCTCCAAAATGGCGGAAGACGGTAACTCGGGGAGAAGAATTGTTGAATAAATTATGTTATTATTGTTTTCTTTGCGCACAAAAAGTATT